GGGGTTTCACCATGTTGGCCAGGCTGGTTTCGAACTCCTGACCTCAGGTTATCTGCTCACCTCAGCCTCCCCAAGGGCTGGGATTACAGGCGGGAGCCACTGCACCTGGCCCATACTTGCCTTTTTGTGCTCAAATGCCTCTCCCTAAACTTTTAAGCTTAGTCACATGGGTACCTAAACCCCACAGGTTTCCCCTCTGGTCATTGACTGGTTTCTGCAGTTCTGCTCTGGTTTTGCATTCCAGGGTTGCAGGATGGGGCCAAAATGGGGATCTGACTGTGAGATGCTCCCCTAGGACTCTGAAGGGCTGGAGTTGGGTGTAGCCTACCTCTCTGTGCTTACTCCGCAGGCTCGACCAGCTCCTCCCTGTCTGATCACTGGCTCCTGCGGCTCGGGAGCAACACTGGCAGCACGAGGGGAAGCCTGCTGTCCTGGAGCTCTGCCCCCTGCCCCTCCCTGCCCCAGGTTCCTGACCCTGCCATCTTCACCAACAGCCTCTGCAACCAGGAAAAGGGTATGTTGGTTAAATTGCTTGGTTTATTTTAATTTTCTGTAATGTCCGTGGTGACTGCTCTGCATTGAAAGAGCTATCACATCATAGCCTTGAACGGAAGGAGTCCGTCATTTCAAGAGGTTTGTTCATCTCTTAAGTGGGGTCTTCTATGACCTGTCCTTGTCTGCTTCTCCCTGTCCTCTGCTCTCCAGCCACAGGTGCCTTTTCTCTGCCCCCATGTAGCTTGCTGTCATAAACAAGTAAACATGGGAACCTGGTACTTAAAGAAGAGAGAATGACAAAGAGAGTCAGGGAAGAGGGCATCGAGTCTGAGGGTGGGGGAGGGAAGGTGCACAGGGCCCGGTAGATAGGGCTAGTGGGGAACAGCTTTCTAGGGATGACACTGAGCAGAGCCCTGAGTGAGAGAGAGTGACTTGTGTGGAGCTAGGTGTGTGCTCCAGGAGAGGAGCCATCCAAGGTGAAGGGGGGCAGTGGGCGTGGGATATGTGAAGGGCGGAAGAAACCAGAGCTGTGGCTGAAGCAGAGACACCCAGGAGCAGAGAGAGCAGAAGTGGACAGGGGCCATATTGGAACCTACCTTCCTGAGCTTGAGGTGTAAAGTTTGGGCTCTATTCCAAGTGTAGTGGATAGCAAGTGGAGAGGTGTTTTTAAAATTTTTATTCATTTATTTTTAATGCTTCTGCTTTAAATCATTATTTTTTAAAAATTGACATACAATTGTACATATATACGGGGTACATGTGATATTTTGATACATGCATACAATGTGTAATTATCAAACTAGGGTATTTAGAATATTCATCACCTCAAGTGTTTGTCATTTCTTTGTGCCGGGAACATTTCAGATCTCTTCTAGCTGTTTTGAAATACACACTATATTGTCATTAACTGTAGTCATCTTTCTGTGCTATTAAACATGAGAGCTTATTTTATCTAACTGTATATTTGTACCTATTAACCCATCTATCTCTGTCCACTCCCCCATCCCAGCCTCTGGGAACCATCTACTCCCTACCTCCATCAGATCAACTTTTTTAGCTTACTGGAGAGTTTTGAGCAGGGAAGTGATTTGATCTGATACATAGTTTTTAAAGCGTCCGCTCTGGCTAGTGTTTGGAGAATACATCACAGGAGGAAGAGTGGGGGTGTAGGAAGGCCAGTCAGGAGACTCACATGGTGGGAGACAGTCGTGGCTTGAACTAGTATGTTAGGTGAGAGATGGTCAAACTGGATGTATTTTGAAGCTAGAGCTGCTAGGATTTGCTGATGTGGGGTGTGCGGTGTGAAGGAAAGAGAATAGTCAAGGTTAACTCCTTGCTTAGGGTCTAAATAATGAGAGGAAGGAGCTGCACAGTTCATGAGATAGGAGAAAGTTGGGTAGGAACAGCCAATTTTGGAGGGAAGTTAATTTTTTCTACCGGGGTCCATCCAACAGACCCCAGCTGCATGATGGATGAATAAATGCACTCAGACACAAATTTCCAGTCATCAACTGTGCCAAGGGGCTGTGAGCCACTCAGAAAAAGAGATAGCACCTACGTGACCCTGACTAGTTCGCCCTCCCCTCATTTATTCATCATAGATTTAATAACAGAGGCTTTAAGTCAACACATTTGTGGAGAAAGATTAAAGACATGCCAGGTTCAGATGCTCAAAGCAAATACCATTAGAGGGTAATCTCCCTGGTCAACCTCCCTCTGAGGGGACCATTCTGGCTCAAAGCTTAAAGACCACATGAGTAAACAAGCTAGCTAGGTAAACTATTCACATTCCTTTGTATTTACACCCTAATTTCTCTGGCTCCTAGACTCTGGCTGTCTTCAGCCAAGAACTATAGAAAAAACCCTTGGGCCTTCCGAAAGGGTTTGAGACTATTCTATAATTTCCTCTAATATTTTTTCCCTTAATATTGTTCCCGCCACCCTGAATGAATTCCCATGTCTTTTTACATAGTAATTTTAAGAATCCTGTAAGACAGCAGTCCCCAACCTTTTTGGCACCAGGGATCAGTTTCATGGAGGACAATTTTTGTACAGACTTGGGATGAGGATGGTTTTGGGATGAAACTGTTCCACCTCAGAACATCAGGCATTAGATTTTTCTAAGGAGCACACAACCTATATCCCTGGCATGCATAGTTCACAATAGGCTTTGTGTTCTTATGAGATTCTAATGCCTCTGCTGATCTGATAGGAGGTGGAGCTCAGGCAGTAATTAGCAGCTTTCAATGCAGATGGAGCTTTGCTCACTTGCCCACCACTCACTTCCTGCTGTGCGTCCCAGTCCCAGACAGGCCACAGATCAGTACTCGTCCACAGCCCAGGGGTTGGCATCACATTGGCATGATAACTGGGGAGTGGACAGAAATATTTGAGAGTCATCAGCATATAGATGAAATGGAAAGTCATTGTGTTGGCCGAGGTCTCCTGGGGAAATAGTATAGATGGAAAAGAATGAAGGCCTGAGACCAAACCTGGGGGCCCTCCAGCAACTAAGGGTTGAGCAAAGGTGGAGAGGCCAACAAAGGAACTGAAAAGGAGCAGCCAGTGATGGGACGAAAACCAGGTGAGTGTGGTTGACAGATGCAAAAAAGAGAATCTTAAGGAAGCAGCCAACTGTGCTGAATGCTGCTGAGAGGCTGAGTAAGGTGAGGATGGGTAGGTTCCATCAGGCTGGAAGGCCACCGGGGACTTGCCAGGAGCATCTGCCATGGCTGGAGAGAAGGGAGGCCCTCCTGCAGCAGGTGGACCAGAGGCTGGGGTTGAGGAAGCACAGTGTGTACACACTCCACCAGGCAAGGTGACCGAAGGAAGGCGGGCTGACAAGTCAGAGATAGTAGAGATGCATTGAGATGATCAGGTCTACAGGGAGACGTTGATGACAGTGCTGGGAACAAGGGGATCACCACAGAAACAAAGTCCTCAAGCCCGAGCATGTCGGATCACACCTGGAATCCCAACATTTGGGAGGCCAAGGTGGGAGGATCGCTTGAGTCCAAGAGTTCAAGACAAGCCTGGGCAACATAGTGAGACCTGATCTCTATAAAAAGCCAGGGAGGGTGGCCTGTGCCTGTTGTCCCAGCTACTCAAGAGGGTGAGGTGGAAGGATCTCTTGAGCTTGGGAAGTTAGGGCTGTAGTGAGCTGGGGGCATACCACTGCACTCCAGACTGGGTGACAGAGCAAGACCTTGAATCAAAAAAACAAACCAAAAAACCAGTGTAAGAACTGTGTGTGTGTGTGTGTGTGTGTGTGTGTGTGTGTGTGTGTGTGAGTCTGTATCTTTGTGTGTGTGTATCTCTGTGTCTCTGTGTGTTTATGTGTCTGTGTGTGTGTCTCTGTGTGTATGTGTGTGTGTGTGTGTCTGTGTCTCTGTGTCTCTGTATATGTGTCTGTATGTGTGTTTGTGTCTCTGTGTGTCTTTCTGTGTGTATATGTGTGTGTCTGTGTGTGTCTCTGTGTATGTGTGTCTCTGTGTGTATGTGTGTGTGTGCTTGTGTGTCTGTATATTTCTGTGTGTCTGTGTCTCTGTGCGTGTCTATGTCTCTGTGTGCCTCTGTGTGTATGCCTGTGTGTCTATGTGTTTCTGTGTGTGTTTGTGTGTGTGTCTCTGTGTCTGTGTGTGTATGTGTGTGTCTCCGTGTGTATGTGTCTGTGTGCCTGTGTGTCTCTGTGTGTGCCTGTGTCTCTGTGTGTGTGTGTTTCTGTGTGTGTTTCTATGTGTCTGTGTCTGTGTGTCTGTGTGTGTGTGTCTGTGTCTCTGTGTATATGTGTCTGTATGTTTGTGTGTGTGTGTTTTGTTTGTGCTTGTATGTGTCTACATGTCTTTGTGTGTGTGTGTGTGTATGTGTGTGCGCGTGTGTAAGATCTTTATTTAGCCTTTGTGCTCCTTCAGCCAGAAAGTGGTAACATGTTCAAATTATTTTTTGAGTTCCTTATTTCTTGTTAGGTCTTGGGTTAGTTTTTAAAATACCATCTTAATAGAAATGTTAAATATGTAGAACTATCATATATAGAAATATTATATATACTTGTGATTAGTATACTTTACATATTGCATACAATTAGATATATGAAATATATATATGTTAGTAAAGTATATTAATCCTTCAATACTTAAAGTATGTTAAGTATACATCTGATACATTTTCATAAATGAACATCTTCATGTACCAGATTAAAAAATAAAATGTTCTAGTACCCTGCCCCTTTGTATCGCTCTCAATCATTACTGTTTTAAATAAAAAACAGCTTGGAGATAACATAGTTCTCTGCACAGAAATTTACTTATGAGAGAGAGAGAGCACACAAACTGTTGTCTGTTGACAATTGTCAATAAAAAGGCAAACTGGCTTAGAGAAGAGGGCGTACAGAGTGAGGTGGGAGAACCACCTCCTTTCTTCTGCAGCTACGATCATCCATGGGCTGGAATCTGTTGCAGAGGCTAGCCTCGTGGTCTGACCTGGAGAAGTCTGGCTTGGTCATCAAGAGAAGCTCCCTGAGTTGTTACAGATTTATGGTTGTTATAGATTTGAGTTATTTATGGATTCTCCAAAAATCCTTGCAAGTTTTGCTTTGAAGCTATCTGCAATGTCTGCTACTTGGTGAATCTCACCGTTTCTCTTATTAAAATTTCTTACATTGGGCCAGGCGTGGTGGCTCATGCCTGTAATCCTAGCAGTTTGGAAGGCCGAGGCAGGTGGATCATTTGAGGTCAGGAGTTTGAGACCAGCCTGACCAACGTGGTGAAACCCCATCTCTACTAAAATAGAAAAATTAGCTGGGCACAATGGCGCGTACCTGTAATGCCAGCTACTCTGGAGGCTGAGGCAGGAGAATCACTTGAATCCAGGAGGCGAAGGTTGCAGTGAGCCAAGATTGCACCACTGCGCTCTAGCCTGGGCAATAGAGCAACACTCCCTCTCAAAAAAAGAATAATTAAAAAAAAAAAAACAGTTCTTACATTGTAACAATAGTTTACATAGTTTACATTTTATATTACG